AAGCAGATAAAACAGTTGGTGGGAAAGAAAAATGATTTTTTTTTAGGCTTATGATGAGTATTTTCAGGCCAATGGGCAGTCAATACAAGAACATATCAAAAACAAGACAGCAATACCCACAAGCCACAATATCTTTTTTGGTAGGTTGACAGTTTGATATCGATTGGATTATTTAGCATCAGTGAAGGAGGAAGGAATCAAAACAGACATGAGGTCCTCATGATATTCAAAAAAATTGTAAGAATACTGTAAGAGATAAGAAGAAAGATGCCCAAAAATATCACCTTACCAAAACTCACTTCAAAGCACATTATCCCTTCAAACTGTCAAAAAGAATCTTGTCATGACATGTGAAAATTAGAAAAGACCTTAAAAAACTGCCTAATGGAACTCATTTTGTAGAGCTGAGGCCAAGGTCATGCTGACTGTGACAGAACAGCCTGAGACCCAGACGTCTTGACCTTGAATCAAGGGGTCCTTCCTCTGCAATGCCATCTCCTTAATATTTACTGAGGAAAAATGTAATTTCTTCTGTTTCAAATAATGTAATCTGAGGTTAAACACTGATTCATTCCACTTATTTGTTATTCAAGTTTTTATCTTGTTCTTGGCTAAATTGTGGCTGAAACTGCGAGTTTTATATAACTTTAAGATACTCTAATTCAGTGTACTTGATTGGTTGGAAATAGACTCCCTTGACATATCTAAAAGCTTACTCATGTCCTTTAAATGGAGAAATAGCCCTCAAAACCAAAGTACTCCTTCAGGTCATCCATCTAGGCAGATTCTACAGCAAGTTGTACAGGGCAGCAGTAATTTTACTGAAGACATTTTTTTTTTTTAGAACTTACAGAAATCTTTTTAATTGCTGAAAACTAAAATGTAATCAAATTGTCATCCCCATGATTTATTAAAATAATTTTACAATAATATACAATAAAGCTACCATAGAATCTGTAGCATACATATAGAATACAATGATCAGCATGTTCTTGAGCCAAAAACTAATTAAAATATTTTATACAAATGATATTTTAAATTTATTAACATGATGATATATTTTTGTCACATAAAACTTGATACAGCAAAGTATTTCATATTTTTCTTGCACATCTTAAATATAGGTGGACCAACTGAAATCATCATCAGCTTTTAAATGACATAACCATGCAGAAACACTTGACAACCAAAAGATATACAGATTGATGCAGGGAACATCCCAGACAGGCTTCTTTTTTCAATGTCTTCAAAGGTTTTACAAGGGTGTGGTACAGAGGAAAAGAAGTAGAGTCAGTGACCTGCACCAATAATGAAGCAAATAGAAGGCTTATGTACATTAAGATTGGTTTGATTAAAAACAACTTATGTGCATGTATATTGATCATAAAAAATGAACACAGTTTATTTTCGACTCTTTTGGTGTGTTGTTTTAAGATAGGTCACTGACACATGGAGAAAAAACAAGATGGGAAAACCTTAAAAGCAAAGAAAAAAATATTTAAAAAACTGAGTTAAGTCATGGATTCTCAACGAACATTGAACTAAATGTGCAAAAGTGCTTGAAATTTCCACATGACAGCGAAGTTGTTGGCAAAGAATTATAAAAAAAAAATTAAACCCAAATACTAAAATTGTATCTGCATGATCATACATTTTATTTACTGAGAGAAAAGAGGCTTGGAATTCTGACATGTCTAAAAATGTCACACCTCAAAATTAAAATACAATTGTGGCAGTTTTAAAAACTTTGTCCCTTTTCCTTACTGATGAGGCATAGGATGAAAGCCGAAGCTTCAACAGGGCCTCCACCTCAGGCTGACAAATATAGTACACCAGAATAACCTGGCAACAATTCCTTTTGTTCTTCACTGTGACAAAACAAAGCAAAGCAAAACAAACAAAAACCTCCTATAAATAAGAGCGTCTCCATACTGTTTACAAGTAACAAGCCATTTGTTTGACTCAGTAAAGTATTTGTCTGCATTAATGTTCTTCATAGTTCATTTCTTTTCCTTTAAAAAGTTTACAATGAGGACTATTTGAGAAACTTAAAAAATTGTTCCTTTCTTTATCAGTCACATTCTGTTAAAATACTGGCTAAAACCCTTATGGAGGAGTGAAGTTTTAGAAATCTTAGAGCTCTAATACCTACAGAAATGCTGGTACCAAGTGATGATCCATATAGCATTAGTTTTTCCTATGAGTGAAACACATCTGTCACACTGCACAGGTGGTCACTTAATTACTCAAGGGGAAGATGATACAAAAGGTGGTGAGGGGAAATAGAGCATCTGATCTCTAGGAATCCAAACTGCTGGGTCTAGCTACTCCATGTTAGTTTATCCAAATGTTCTGCCAAAACAGTGAATTCTACAAACAATTATTTGTTTTGTATGAATTGCCTTGTTGATAAGACATTCTATCTTCAAAAAGTGTCAGAAGTTTTGGCAAAACGGAGTCTGAGCTACTCAAAGTAAAAATAATTATTGGAAGTATATCCTTAAGCCGCTGAACAACAAAAAGAATGGCAAGAACTACCAAAGGCAACACTTATCCTTCCTTTCAAATATCAAAGAGCCGTAACACTGCCCATCTGAAATGCCAACAAAATAAAATGGAGCACTGTATGGAGAAAAACCAATGAAAATGAAAAAGGAAGAAATGGATGTAGGAGGGGAGAAAGACAAACCAAAGGGAAGCAGAAAGGTGTCTAGGTGTGTGTTATGGCACAGACAATGCTTTGCTTAGCGGTGCCTTGTTACACAGGTAGATGCAGAGCACACACACGGATGGCAATAAAGACCTCACTCAGTCGCTGGAATGACAGAACTAGGTAACTGCTTCAACAAGGATGGTCTCAGCCCCACCGTATCTCTCAACGGAGCGCAAAAACTGAGTGTGAGCTCTGATGTCATATTGTCGCTCAGCTTTAGAATTCACAAAATTCTTTTGCACATTTTTCTGTTATAGAGACGCGGATATCTTCTTCTTCATAGTCATCAAAGTTGCTGGTATCTCCAGAGCCTCTGAACTTTGGTATGAATGGTGCTTCCACCTGTAATTGAGAAGAAAAAATAAGTGTGATATTATGAATTACAATAGCAAAAATAGATTTGGTCTCTTAAGTCCCCAGCATAGCGCTCTTTCAACTTGTGGATTTCCTAAGTGTTATGTTAATGAGAGGACTTGCGGAGAGCCCCTAGCTTGCCTAAGGAAGGTGCTGGTTAGATATTCAAAACAAAGTTTACCCCCCAGCTCCAGGAGGGGAGAGGGGCTAGAGACTGAGTTCAGTTGCCAATGGCCAGTGATTGAAACCATCATGCCTACATAATGAGCCATAAAACTTCAAAAGGATGGAGTTCAAAGCGCTTCCAGGTTGGTGACTAAGTGGGGATTTGGGGAGAGTGATGTGCTTGAAGAGAGCAGGAAGCTTAGAGCCCCCTTCCACACGCACAAACTATGTGTCTCTTCCATCTGGCTGTTCCTGAATTACATTCTTTCATAATAAGCTGGTAATAGTAAGTAAAGTTTCTAAGTTCTGTGAGCCGATGTAGCAAAGTAATTAAAACCTAGGAGGGGTTTGTGGGAACCTCTGATCTACAGACTCTTAGAAGCACAGGTGACCAGACTTGTGATTAATGTCTGAAGTGGTGGTGGGCATGGGTGCCTTGGGGGGGGGGATCAGTTGGTTAAGTGTCTGCCTTTGGCTCAGGTCATGATCCTGGAGTCCTGGGATCGAGCCCCACACTGGTTCCCTGCTCAGCAGAGAGCCTTCTTCTCCCTCTGCACTTCCCCAGGTTGTGCTAGCTCGCTTGCTTGCTCACTCTCTCTCAAACAAATCATGCTCCCTCAAATAAGTAAATGTTTAAAAAAAAGTGGTGGGGTACTTTTATAGGACAGAGCCCTCAACCTGTGGGGTCTGGTGCTATCTCCAGGTAGATACTGTTATTGTATGGTGGTGTGGGGGGCAGAAAACACACATATTGGAATAACAAGAAAAGTGAATGCCTGGGAGTTTCTAAGCACTAAGGAAAAAAAATTCCCGCTATGACTATATGGTAGCATCTTTGAATACCTTTAGGTCTCTAAATGATAACAGCATTAGAAAAAGCAGCAAACAGTAGGTTTGCTATTAATCTCAACATTTTTATTCAAGGAAAGGTACAATACTTAAGAGATTTCTAGGATAATTAACTATTGGCATTAAAATGGCTGGCATTTCAGGTTACAGAACTCCAGATTTTCCTTTATCAGTTCCTTTTTTTTTTTAAGATTTTGTTTATTTAAGAGAGAGAGAGAGAGAGAGAACAAGCAGAGGGAGAGGGAGATAATCTCAATCAGACTCCATGCTGACCGCAGAGCCCAACATGGGGCTTGATTCTCAGATCACAACCTGAGCTGAAACCAAGAGTCAGATGCTCAACCAACTGAGCCACCCAGGCTTATGATAGAGAGCTCTTTTTAATATCTAAACCAGTAATCTCCAAAGTTTTTTTTTATTTATATGCCTTTTAGTAAAGCATATCTGAGTATATATATCACCAATATATGTGTACTAACTATGGTAGTATAAGATATATATACAAACAAGACATTTAAAAAGAACAAGGTAAAAAAGTAGGAATGGGAAGTCTAATATCATCTTTTTTGTTTGCCAGCTGGTTGCCTTGCATACATGCTCTGGGGACTGCTGTTCTGCACCATGCAGAAGAATCAGCTATGCAGGGAGTTGCCTCACATCTAGCCAGGCAGCAATTTAGGATCACACCTATTGGGATCATCTCTACATGTAAAATGATTATTCAGTATGAGTTATCCAGGCCTCATTCTTCTGTTCCGTGTCTCTGCTAGATATCTTGGGTTATTTCATTGTTCGTGGGCACTTGGTCAGAGAATAACTAAGACTATGAAAACCATTCAAACTATCATTTTTGTCTTGCTGTGCATAATTATAATTGAGACAATGTTAAAACAAATGGCTACATTGAAGTACTGAATTATTTCTATTTGTAAATTATCCAGGGATCTCCAAGTGCATTTGATAGTCAAGATTTACTGTTGGCCAATCTGTCCAATACTACAACCTGCTTGCTATAGAGTGCTACCTCTTGGCAAATAAGCTGTTGCTACCTAAGGTAAGTCAAGCCCTCTGAAAAGTACATGAACTCTGAGCAATAGCAGTTCAATTTTATCCCACTTTAAGAATAATTGTAGGGTGGCTGGGTGGCTCAGTCAGTTAAGCATCTGCCTTCCTTCGGCTCAGTTCTTGATCCTAGTGTCAGGCTCCATGCTCTGAGGGGAAATACTTCTCCCTCTCCCCCTTCCCCGCTTGTGCTCTATCACACACACTCTCTCTAATAAATAAAACCTTTTTATTTTTTAAAGATTTATTTATTTATTTATTTATGAGAGAGAGAGAGAGAGAGAGAGAGAGAGAGAGAGAGAGAGAGAGAGAGAGAGAGAGAGGCAGAGACACAGGAGGAGGGAGAAGCAGGCTCCATGCCAGGAGCCCGATGTGGGACTTGATCCCAGGACTCCAGGATCGCACCCTGGGCCAAAGGCAGGTGCTAAACCGCTGAGCCACCCAAGGATCCCCTAATAAATAAAATCTTAAAACAAAAATAATTGTAAAAATACAATACATAGTATAGGTAGATTAGTAAATGCGAGTAGAAGAAATTTTTACTTCTAAATCTAAAAATGAAAAGATTAAAAATATATCGACTTAAGATATTAATAAAATGAACAAACCTCAAGCAAATCTAACAACTGTATCTAAATATAGCATTAATTAACACAAATATAACAATAAAGATAATGTAAACACACAACTACAGGAGGATATGATTTTATAAGAAAATAAAAATTTGGAGATCCCTGGGTGGCTCAGCGGTTAAGCGCCTGCCTTCGGCCCAGGGCATGATTCTGGATTCCCAGAATCGAGTCCCACATCGGGCTCCCTGCATGGAGCCTGCTTCTCCCTCTGCCTGTGTCTCTGACTCTCTCTCTCTCTGTGTCTCTCATGAATAAAATCTTTTAAAAAAAAATTCTGAATTGACTGAAGAGGAGATAAAAACTTAGAGATCAATATCCAAAGAAAAATTAGTTTGTTAAATTTCTAAGTAATAAGTAGAAGTTAATTCTTATAGAAAATTTCCAAACTCCTTTAATGAATTCATTCATTCATTCAATGACTCCACATAATCTCAACTCTAGAAAAACAAAAACTGCAGGTAAAACAAAAACTGCAGGTAAATAAAACTTAGGACTATGGAGGCAAAAATCCTAAATAAAATTTTAGCAATTTGATTTTTGCCTATTTTAAGTAGTATTTTCCAGGTATTACAGTAATACCCCACGATTAAATGGTGTTCAGGAATGTGAAGATATTTCATTAATATAATTCATCATGCTAATATGTCAAAGAAGATAAAGCACAATGTACTAGGAATCAAGGTTGTTTTTTTTTTTGATATTTTTTGTGGTTATTTTCTTAATTTGACCAAGAATATTTATCCAAGACAAATAGCTAACTTCATATTTAAAGCTGAAACATGAAAGGCATTCCCATTCAAAACAGAAGAATACAGCTGAACAGTCCCTATTCTTTTTTTTTGTCCCTATTCTTTAAAAATATTTATTTGAGACATTCTAGCATATACAATAGAGCAAAATGGAAATAAAAGATGTAAATATTGAAAAGGATGAGGTAAATGATACCTCTGCCCACTATAATTATTTATCAATAAAATGCAAGGAAATCACTGAAAAACATATGGAAATCAGCAATAGAATTTAGTAAGGTGGCTAGTTGTAACACAAACATAGAATTTATGTTTCCTCTTATGTTCTATAATGGGAAAGCAAACACATTTGTAACAGCAATCAATATATAAATTTAAAGAATAACTTTATTTTTTATTATTTTTAAAAGATTTTATTTATTTATTCAGGAGAGACAGAGAGAGAGGCAGAGACACAGGCAGAGGGAGAAGCAAGCTCCATGCAGGGAGCCCGACGTGGGACTCGATCTCTGGTCTCCAGGATCACACCCTGGGCTGAAGGCGGCGCTAAACCGCTGAGCCACCTGGGGTGCCCAGAATAACTTATTTTTTTAAGAATTTTTAATTATTATGTTAAATTAGGTTCCATAAGGCCCATTCATAATGAAGTAGAGATTTTGGTTCTTTAAGAAAGAAACTGGGCTTGTACTGCGCAGGGCTAAGACTTTACTGAATGACAGAAAATATTTGAATAAATATAGAAATATAATATGTTCATTATGAGGAATTTTCAAGATTTTGATTCTCTTCTAATTAATATGTTATCCCAATTTAAGAACCCAAATACAATATAAATATTTGGAAAGATCAATAATATTATTTAATGGGTACAGAGTTTTAGTTTGCAAGATCAAAGAGTTCTGGAGATGGATGGTGGTGATGGTGACACAACAGTATGAATGCACTTAATACCACTGAACTTACAAATGGCTGAGATAGCAAATTTTCTTTTATTTTTGTACAACAAAACTGTAGAAAATGGAATTTTGTATTCTTTTCTATGAATATTTATAAGAATTCCATATTAAATATACAAATATTTTGAAAATTTAAAAATGAAATACCATAAAGTTATATAAAATGGTGTAGTATATAGTACAAGAATAGACAAAAGGAATTCATAAAAATAAAGTTCAGAAACAGACTTAAGTATAATAATTTACCATTGGTAAAGGTGGAATTTCAAGTAAGGGACCAAATAAGGATTATTCATTCAACAAATGCTGAGAGGATAATTGGCTAATTATGAAACAACAACAAAAAGAAGTTAGATCAAAAAGCACTAAAGGGATGCTGTTGGCTATACAACATATCCAGCTGAGGTAATGATGCTAAGGGCTGTTTCATGATTTAATGGCTAGGGAGTTTCAGAACCCGTCTTATGAGATGTAGAGACTACTGCACTCAGATTGTGTTGCTCTTTGCTGCATTAGTAAATTCTTTTAATGCCTCTTTTGTTTTTATAATCTTTTCTAAAAGATAAAAACTAGGAAGACTGTGCTATTAATATTCAATTACAGCATTTACATTTTTTTCCTAAGGAAATTCACTCATGTGGCTGCACAGCATCATTAAATATGGCAAGTCTCTGAAATATTAGAAGTTTTGGTTTTATAGAAAAAAATATTCAAGATGTAAACACTTTATAAATACAAATTATCTTTAACTGGGCATTTAAGAAGCAAAGAGAAATAAAGGTAATTCAGCACAGCAAAATCTTTTCTTAAATGTCTCAATTTTTACAAAGGTGAAGTGATAAAAGACTGAAAAATAATCTTGTGAATCTAGCTATTAAAGTTATTAAATTAGCTTGTGCAAATTCTGGGTGGGAGAATATATTTGTTTATATGTTGTCTTTCTAATGTGGCTTCACATTAGTTTTAAAATGCAAACCCTTGTGACATTGTCTACTGTATAATTACCATGATATTGTGAAGAATAAGAGGCATGAGAAGGAAAAATTTGACACTGAAAACATTTCAGATTGATGGTCAAAACAGAATATGCTTTCTCTTTTATCAAGGAGAAAACTCATTTTTGTTGGGGCTGGAAAGGTCCCTTAAGTTCTGTGTAGGATTAATTCAAAGGTAAAAAAATAAAATCACGTATCAAGTTGAAAATATCTCTATTACATAGAATTTAAATACCAATTTTTAAAAGCTTTTAAAGAAATGGCTCACCTTCCTCTGGTAAATAGCAATCCAATCTGTTGTGGCAAACCACTTGTGAGTTTTTATATCACTCACACCATTCTTCAGGTTTCCAAACCGCTTTGTCAAATCCACCTGCAGCAGGTTCCTTAGAAGGTCCTTGAGATCTGAACTGAAGTGCGATGGGAATCGGACCTGTACCAACACACCAGGTGGCCAAACATACATTCCAATGGTTATCATGGCCTCAACTTCAAACAGAGCACAGACCTCTGAAGAAAATGCTAATTTGAGCTGTGAACAGATTCACTTCTGAGCTCCTTGTATTCTTACTGTGATTCTCTACAAGTGCCACCATCACCTCATAAACTCCTATTGTGTGTTATGACATTACTTCAGTTGATCTTTATTTAGGTATGCTATAATATTTGTGTATATCTGTTTCCCCCAGACCATGAGCTTCGGGGGGGAGGGTACTGTGCCACTTTTGTGTTTTTACTCCCAGAATTTATTACATAATTTCAAGTAATGTAGTTCATGTAGTTAACAATTAGTTAAAGAGACCTACTATGTACTACACTGCTCTAGTGCTGGATATATAGCAAGGAGCTATGACATAGTTGGTGAATATGGTATAAACTATACCCCAGAGATGGAGAAAACTAGGATTCAGAGGCATTGTATAACTTACCCAATCATTAGACTATAAAGTGGCGGAGCTGGGACTAAAAATCTAGTCATGATTCCTAGGCTCATGAATTTTGTTCTTTATTACACTGTCTTCAAATGTATAGAGCTCTTTAACTTCTATTCTGACTTTCAAAATGCTTAACATGGTGTTAATATGTTTGGATTCTCATATTGTCAAAGTAGAAGTTAAATCATGAGCATGCAAAGCTAGTTAGAGTCCATAGCAAAGCCAGATTTATAACTATAATCTTCTGACTACTACTTAGGCTATTCTGTAAATAAATGCTTCTCTAGGACCCACTTTCATCAGAATCAATTGGGAGAGCTGAGGCATAAAAATGGTGATTCCCGGGCTTAGTTCAAATGATGGGGGCATTGGGTTTGAAATTCTGAGGTTTTATCTCCAACTGATTCATATGGGCATGAAAGCTTGAGAAGCATTATTTGCAACTCTATTCACTACTCTATGCAGAAGTTGTTTTTTTTTTCTGCTAGAAAAAAATTTGAATGTAAATAAACTAGAATCATCATCATATTAAAGGAAAACTAATGTTTGTGTCCAACAACCAAAGACTAACTGAAGGATTTGGGGTCAACGCATATAAATTAGCAACTAAAATCCTCATTTTTGCAAAGTCTATATATATTATCACAGGTTATAAGAGAGTTTATATTCTTAAAAAAACATGTGAATTGCTACATTTTTTAATTTTTACTGGTAAAAGTAAAGTT